ATAATAAAATCCCCAAGTACAATTCTGCCGTGCTTAATGAAAACGCCGTAACCAACAATTGTGCGATTTTTGTTTTACGGCATTTTCTACTAGAAAACGTCATCCTGCGTCTATCCCCGGTACTCAAAAAACCGTATCTATATATATACGGTTTTTTGAGTACCGGGGATAGACGCAGGATGAATTGTTCTAGTAGAAAATGCCGTAAAACAAAAATCCACAATTGTTGGTTACGGCGTTTTCATTAAGCACGGCAGAATTGCACAACAAACTTATTTTGTCTTTATAAACTGATCTTTTAACAATAAAGTCCCTGTGTAGAAATTAAATTGATTTAAAAACCCTATTCGTGAAACCGTAAGCAAAAGTCGACGCCATACCAACCATAATTGGGTTGGATGTATACATCTGAAGATTTTGCAAATAATCGCTGCAGTAAAACTGGAGGATCAGAGTGTAAAACAAAAAATATAAAGTTTCAAAAATAAAAAAAGTATTTTTTTGTACTGCTTAATTACACAATTTCATGTACATTAAAAATTACCTGGATGCGGTCTGGATGGGTTGATGGTATCTTTGTAGACCAAAAAGTTATGACCATTTGAATGACTCGTTCGCGTAATCTGTATTAACATACTTCGCCTTTCACCAATAAGTAATATAATTTTTGTTTTATTTTTATTCAAAAATACAAGAACGTCAAACGGCAAACAACTTTATTGGAATTCGCAAATTCCAAACAATTTGAAGTAAATTATTTGGATTTGACATAGAAAAATTAAAAAAACGAAAAATCCTATACTTTGTTATCTATGTCGATCAATCCAACACTTCTTTGTTTTGGGGAGGGAATAAATCCAAAATCTGCCAGAGAAGTGGTTACTCTACTAGGTTTAAAGATGTTAAATACACTGGGTATCCTTGATGTTTACATGGAAAATGTTGTTGTTCTACAAAATGACCCAAGCAATATTCCTGGAGAAAGCATAAGTGATATTTTAAGCCCTGACCCTGTCAAAAAAATGAAGTAATTAAGGCAAAACTGATTTAGATTTAATTTTTTACCAAATGTGATTTAATATCATATAATATTAACCTTTGTTAGAAATATAAACTAAAATAAAAAAATATTTAAAATGGAAAATAGATATTTATAATATAATATTAGAATTCTACTAGAAAACTAACCAAAAAAATCATTTATAAAAATATTCTTATATATTTAAAAATATTATTTATATTAACACTCTACTATTATGCTTAAATACTTGATTTACCATTTTAGTTGCAATAGTTCGTGTGAATTTGTTTACCTTATTGAATTCAAAACTTTTTATTTAAAATAAAATTTAATATTTAAATTGATTGTTATTATTTTGAAAATATTTTTAAATTATTTTTAAAAGGAATTATTTGCTGTTAATTAAATGATTATTTTTACAAAATAAGTCATATTTTTCATATAACCATATAAAAATACGATAAAACGTAAAATTTTTATGTAAAATATTAATAAATGCGACTTTTCTGGATGTTTTATTGGTTATAAAAATTTAGCATTTGATCATCAATTATAATTTTCCTTAAAAAAACATTTAAATAAATATTAATGGCAAAGTAATACATATTAGGTACGCCAACGAGACAAACTTTAAACGGCCATAGCTTTTAAAGTCGAGCAAACTTTTTAAAATCCTTTGGGGGTTTTGAGTTTTGGTATCCTAGTTGTGTTTTATAAAGTTTTGCCTTTTTTAATTTAAAATACTTCAATATTAAACTAGTTTATAATAAGCTTATTAAAAAATAAAATGTGTTTTGCATTTTTTGTTTGTTAATTTAAGCACGTTATGTTAAACAAGATATCGGCCAGACTTCTCTGTAACTATCGGTCCGATAAACCTTTCGCGCCTAAATTTTTAATAAATAATTTAATTTTTTAATGAATAATTGTTTATTTAAGCAAACTGTTTATTTACTGGTGTTTGTTTAAATATAATATATTTTCGAATAATATTGTCTTTTCTAATATTTTCAGTTTTATATTTTTATGTACTATTAATAATAATATAAATAATATTATTTATTTTTTAATATTGTCATTTTTATATTTTTATGTAATAATATTTAAATTAAGTTTTTATTTTGTAATACTTAAATATGGTCACCATATAAATACCTATATGTTATTATTTTTTTATATAAATATATTATTTTATATAAATATTTCTTTTTAATAAAATATGCTTAAACCTATTTGTTCTTGAATTTTTTTTAACCTAAAATTTATACAAAAAAATTGTTTTGTTTGGTAAGTATAATGCAGGGGTGTCAGAAAAACTTGATTGATGAATTTATTCTAAGACAATTACAAACAGCCTTTGTTAGTATAACACAAAAATTAGTCTTATAATTGAATTAGATAAGAGAATATTATTAAGATTTTGAGGTGGGGAATGGTTTTAATATTATTGCATGTATCATGACGATGTGGAAGTATGAATCTTATAAAAATGTTTTTTAATAATATTATTTTTTAATAAACAATAAAATATATTTTTATTTATTTATTTTACTGCTACAAATTGTAACTGTAATTTGTTTAATTTACGATAAAAAAAAAACAAAAATTTCTGTTAAACATGTTTATTAACTTCGTTGTAAAAAATATTACAAAACATGGAAGTGTTGATAATAATTATTACAAATTATTATAATATTTGAATCGGTGAGAATAAGAACAGTACAAGTCGAAAAATTTTATTTTAACAACTCATTTTCTAAAATCAATTTAAAAGTTTAAAATGCATTTTTGTGGGAAAATATAAATCATTTTACAAAATATGATTATTATATTTTATAAAATAATTGAAATATTCCCACAAAAATATATGTTGAACTATAAAACGGAAGAAGTCCAAAAGCTAAAATTTTGACAAATTATTTCATAAAATACGTTTTATAGTTCAAAATATATTTTTGTGGAAATATTTCAATTATTTTATAAAATATAATAATCATATTTTGTAAAATGATTGATATCTTATCACAAAAATGCATTTTAAACTTTTAAATTGATTTTAGAAAATGAGTTGTCAAAATAATATTTTTGGACATGTACTGTTCTTTTTCTCACCGATTCAATTATTACAACAAATTTAAAAACATTAAAATGGGTACATTAAAAATTGGTTAAAAATATAAAATTGAATTTAAAAATTACACAATGCAGGTTCCCGTGTATACCCTCTGGCATGACATTGGGCCCACAAGGATCGCCTTCGTCTTCTTGGAATGTTTGTACAGAAACAATTTACTAAAAATTCCACTTTAATACCTCGCTCATTTGGATTACTTTTTACTTGCACACATCTTATTTCAGCTCCTTGGGGACATTTCCTTTTAAATTCTCTTTGCACAGCAGAAATATACTGACAACCAGTTTCATATTCGTTGTTATCTCGAGTAAATGTGGCAATCCACCGATGGGGGTTTCTTCCCGTCGTTGTCATTGCTTCAACCTCACCCAAGATGTACCCTGCCGGTGTTGCATCTTGAATAATTTCCCTTGCTTGGTCCATATGTCGTTGATCCACATTCTCGGTACACGGCAAATAATTAATGGCCAATGCAGGAAGAAACAAATAAAAAAACACGTAAAAACTCGTCACAGTCGACATCTAAAATAAAATGTTACTTATTGTTACTTATTTTGACACAACTTTTTCCTAATAATTAATGGATTTTTAAATTACAATTAGGTTATTTTTAAAGATTAAAAAAAGGACTGTGGTTTAAAAATATTACTAAATACAAATAAACTAATAAACTTGTAAACTTATTTTATTTAAGCATATGTATTATTATTTATTATTAAATTAAATTCACTTTCAAAAATAAAAAATATTTACAATTTAGAAGTTATGCTAATCCAATATTAAATTAAACACTTACCTTTTACAACGAAGCACAGAGTTAGAGATGTTTAACAGAAAAAAAAAGAAACGAGTCTTTACTCGCCCATTTTATAGCATCTGCGGCACAACGTTGCCACTTTGATAGGATCTCAGCTTATGCTTTATTTATCATTGCTGCAAAATGTTTTGGAGCGCCACCTTGCATGAAACGCTTAAAGTAAATTTATATAAGAAAGGAAAAAAATGTGAAAAATGAGATCCAGACAAAAATTGCTAAACAATCATATTTAACACCACTGATCACTCTGACAAAAATATACACACGATGCAAGATGAGATCCGAATTCGGATCCCGACTTTCCAAACGGATCTCTTCTTGAACGAAAAATATCATAAACGGATCTCAGCTTGTGCAGATTATATATATATGTATATATATATATATATATATATATATATATTGATTTTCTTGATTTTGCAAAAAGTTACTTACTTACAATAAACGATTTATTTATTTAAACAAGAAGGTCCTTTGTGGCACTTACTATTCCATAATCGCTTATTTTTTATGACGACAAGTACTGTATTCAAAACTTACTACAATTGCATCCTTTATAACTTTGCTTAGTACCAGAAGAAATTATATTTTATTTTTCATAATTACTGTTTTCAGATATTGGCGGTAACAATGTAACATATATATTTATTGTATACAATTCAAGTAATATTTGTACGGTAGATAAATATTAATTTAAACAAAAATAATTCCTAAAAATACCATTTATTAACTAACTTTAATCGATTTAAAATTGCACATACTTACCTACAGTTTTGCAATATGACTAAAAATATTTTTTCATACGGCCATTAGTGTTCGATACAAGGTAACCTAATTGGAAAAACCCTTTTAACTTAAATTGTTTTTTACGGTTTAACTGCTAGATATTGTAAATAAATAAATAAAACAATGTTTGCTATTTCTTTTTATCTACTTTATTGGTGATATATTATTTCTATTATCTAAATAGTGCCCCATAATTTATTCAACTTCCACGAATATATATAATTTTTTTATATAAATTTAACAATATCTTTTTTACATTTAAACCTTGAAAAGGACTTAGTTGCAAACTAAAGATGGTGCTAATAAAAATTTGCTTTATTATATTTTTCTTAAAATCAGAAGTTATAGCTAAACATAAGGTAATAATTTTAATATTTTTATTTCGTTTTTAGTATTTGTTTATGGATTTAAAATAATTAAAAAATTATATTATATAAATATTATATAATAAATTATATCAGGATATTTTATAAGTATATAATTAATTAAATAAAAAAATATTATAATTTATTTTAGAATAGAGCTAGTTCGGCTGACCCCCTAGTTACACTGGAAGATGGAAAAATATTGGGAAAAAATGAAAGAACACTTTCAAATAAAACCTACCATTCATTTGAGGGTATTCCTTTTGCTAAACCGCCATTGGGATTACTAAGATTTGAGGTTTTTTATAAAAACTCATTTAAATATTAATCTAAAAATAAACTTTTAGCCACCTGAACCAAATGAAAAATGGAATGGAACCCTTTTGGCAAAAACAAATAAAAGTAGCTGTATACAATATAATGACGATGGATCTGAGGATTGTTTATATCTAAACGTTTATACTCCTAATCTAACTCAAAATTTGCCTGTTATGGTTTGGATATACGGTGGAGCTTTTGTTAGTGGTGATGGTTCAAAAGAACTTTATAATCCTGAGTATTTATTAGAAGAAGATGTTGTTGTTGTTAATATAAATTATCGTCTGGGAATTTTTGGGTTTTTAAGCACCGGTGATATGGCTGCACCAGGTAATACCGGTTTGAAGGATCAAATATTGGCCTTGAAATGGGTGCAAAAAAATATTGCACATTTTGGTGGAAATCCCAAAAGTGTTACAATTTTTGGAGAAAGTGCCGGAGCTGCTTCAGTATCATATTTGGTACAAAGTGATTTAACTAAGGGGTTATATCATCGAGCTATTATGCAAAGTGGAACAACTTTATGTCTTTGGAGTTTAACTAGATATGCAAGAAAACTAGCATTTGATGTTGGAAAAAATCTTAATATATATACTTCTAATTCATCAAACTTGGTAGATGAATTAAAAAAAGTTAAAGCATCTGATCTTCATTTTAAAACAAAGTTTATTTATAATTTGGTAAGAATATTATATATAAATTAAAACTTAAAAGTTTAAATATTAAAAATATTTTTTATCCAGAATTTTGCCCAAATAAACATACGAAATGGATTACCAATTGGACCGGTAATGGAACCTAATCACGAAGGGGCTGTTTTTTCTGGCAAAAGTTATGAGATGCTTTCCAAGGGTATGTTTAATCGTGTCCCCTTAATAATTGGACATACTTCGCAGGAAGCTCTTGTAGCTGGAGATCTTCCAAGTAATGACAAATGTTATGCATAGGTACATAATTTTAATTAATACTATACATTGTTTTAGTACTTGTTAAATTATTGCTTGGTCATTTTACTGCAAATAGAGAAAACTTTACACCCATTGATATGAACATTAAAAACCCAATTGAATCTTTATTTGTTGGAATAACAATTAAATACCATTATTTTGGATTAAATGTAGTGGTGCAGGACTCCAATAGTCTTACTCAGGTAGGTATATTTATCATATTTTTAGAAATTATAAAAGTAATTCGAATTAAAGTTCCTTAGTGATGACCAATTTAACCGACCCATATCGGAAACTGTGAGACTCCAGTCTCAATATGTTCCTGTTTATTACTACGTATTTTCTTATGAGGGAAAATTGGGACAAATTTATGATGGAAATCTACCAGGTTAAAATTATCATTTAATGTTTTTATATACAATTATTATTAATTTTTACAATGTAGGTGTTGGTCATGCTGAAGAACTACAATATATTTTTAAGACAAAATATGTAAATATTTCACAATCGGATATGTTGACAATAAAACGAACTGTCAAACTATGGACAAACTTTGCTAAATATGGGTAAGTTAATAAAATATGTGTAATCAAATTTTTTAAGCATTAGATCTAATTACAGCTTTAAAGCTTTTAATAATTATATTGAAATGTTGGAGGTTGTTGTTAAAACATTATTTTATAGGAATCCCACACCAAGTAAAGATGTTTTATTTGATAATGAAATTTGGATTCCAAATTTTAAAAATAGCTCTGAAAATCTTAGTTATTATAATATTAACAAAAATGTATCCAATGGTATTAATCCCAATGAAGCAAATCTACAATTTTTTCAAAATATTTATAATAAATTTGGCAATCCTCCTTATGACACTTATTAATTTTTAGAATATTAAAGTAATCATGAACTCAATTTAAAAATAGTTTTATTTATCCTTCTTGGGGTTATATATACAGGGTGTCCCAAAAGTCAACGATATCCTATGGAGGACTGATAGGCCAATTCATGACCAATTAGAAAATCATAACATGACCTTAGTAAAAAATCGTTAGTTTTTGATATATTGGCATTTTTATAAATTTTATAAAACTTGAGACCTTTTTTCTTTTCAAAAGATAAAAAATTAGTTTTATTTTGAACTGTATACCTAATGATTATAATCAATATCATTCAGGGTTACTTATCTAAAGCGTCAAGTTTCATAAAATTCATAAAAATGTCAATATCTCAAAAAATAACGATTTTTTACCAAGGTCATGTTTTGATATTCTGATTGGTCATGAGCTGGCCTATTAGTTCTTCAAAGGATATCGTTGACTTTGGGGCACCCTGTATGTATATATATATATATATATATATATACGTATAATTGGTATGTTGTTTAGCCCGAGATACTATTGGGGCGCTCTGCCACCCACCATTTCTAACGTAGTTAGACGAGTATATATCTTTGCTAAGTGTTTGTTAACATAATTTAATTTAGGAAATACCAAGAGGGGTAAATATATAAGTTAATTTAATGATCTCTTTATTTATGGTACGTTGTAAAGCCCATAAGATATATATAGTACGTTATTCATCCCTCGTGTATGTAAAAACCAAGCAGACGGTTCTTGTTTAGCCCGCAACGTTGCCGGTTTTCACCAAGCCAACGCGTACGAATTGTCCAATAAGAACAGCGCTATCCACCTGTTTTGTTGCCACGCGGCGATCACGCGACATAAATTTGCATTTAATGCCTATTTTCGTATTATTCTTCATACGTTCAACGTTGTGCATCCCGTTTTACTTTGTGTTCGTTGTGCATCCCGTTTGTTGTAATTTTTCGAAATTTTAAAAGAAACCTCTAATAATTCTTAAATTATAATTTAAGAATTAATAAAATAATATTAATTTTCCTAATAAACTTAGTAAAAGTCTTTATAATGTTTTTTTGTAAATGTATCGTTTTACAGTAAAATTGCAATTCCAATTCAATGTTATTAAATTCCGTGGCATTCCGTCCTGCTATAAATTACTAAGAATTAATTAATTAATCAAAGTTTTCCTTTTTTTTAAACGATACATTTAACAAAAAAATAACTTTTTTAAATTGACTGTTTATTTTAAAACAATTTTTTTTTAAATAATTGGAGTAACTTTTTTTTGTTTTAAAACGAGATATTATTACCACTAATTGTAGTATAAAAACATTTCCCATCAAATTAAAAAATCATACTCATCAATGTGCTGTAAATAACTTTTTTTAATTGACTGTTTATTTTAAAACAATTTTTTTTAAATCATTGGAGTAACTTTTTTTTGTTTTAAAAAGAGATATTATTACCCCTGCTTGTAGTATAAAAACATTTCCCAGCAAATTAAAAAATCATACTCATCCATGTGCTGTAAATTAATTTTTTATTCTAAAAAATATATGCAACTTAATCCCTTGGATGTTGAATTTTTAAAATAATATTATTAAGAAAATTAATATTATTTTAACGTTTTTCATTGATTCTTAAATTATTATTGGTTACTTTTGGACCACCGTGTATATTTTTTAAACAAATACTCCAACCGATACGATAATGCAGATATGGGTCCTAATTAAACTGAAAAAAATTAAATTATACTCATTAATAAAGTTATTTTCTTTAAAAGTTCTGTATTAAACAAAATAAAATCGTTTTTTAGTCAAAACTTGACAATTTTTTAAATTTAAAGTGATGTTATACTATCCAATTTTTTAGATTTAAATAAAATTTACAAAATTAATAGCTTCATCTATATACTTTATTGTGTTAAAATTTCAACGCAATAAAATAAAAATTGGCAAAATGGCACTTAAAGCGTTTTAAAATTCATTTTCGTCAAGTTTTTTCCTGACGCTTGTACGATTTCTTAAAATAAAATATGTAGGCAACAGTAATTAATAAATTTTTGATAACGCAATATTTCTTAAAAAAATACGTTAAAGTAAACTGATAAAAATAATGGTAAATTTAATAATTATTTACTATTAAAAAGTACAGTAAAATTACCATTTTTAGTTTAGAGATTGACAATTATTATACTAAATCAGGATATTTACATAATTCTTAGTATTTTTTTGTAAAATAATTTTAAATCAGCTTCCAAAAAGTTTAGGAAAAATACAATACTACTACAGTAAATATTACTTATACAATTAGGCATAAAACCAGTTTATAGTTACCACCCATACCAATGATCATGAGTTAAATTAAATTATAATTAAATTTACAATTTAGGTTTGCATTTCGAAAAAAAAAATACGAACAATATTGCAAAAACAAGGGCTTATTTAGTTAAATTATAGCCATTTTTGGAATCAGCGCACCAAAATCACCTTAAAAAAGTTGTAAGCCACCCTAAACTAAGACAAATGGCTTTTTATCTTGTACTTACATAGTTTTGTGGTTAAGTAAGTATAAATATGTAGCTACAAATTTTCTGCTCATTTTGATTTTTATAAAAAACAACTTTCAACCGAATCCGATGAAGCTGGTGAACGATTTCATCAAACCATTATGACATTTAAAGATCGGTTTTCTGGCAAAAAAATCGACTCGATGCTTGCTGATTTTTGTTGGTCAATCTTCAAAGAGGAATACAATTAAACATTTTTTACATTCTTTACAACTTGTTATTTAAGTAGTTTTTTTTATTTTTTTAAATATAAATTAATTTTTATATTTTATACTACTAACTGACAAAAAAGTTTATTATTGATAGATAATAATTTTTTAGAAATAAATAAATTTTAATAGATTTTAAAATTGGAATTGGCCAAAAATGTTAATTATAAATAAATAAAATAAATAAAGATATTTTAAGAGGGATTATGGTGTCTTAAAAAATATATATATATATACATATATAGCAAAATAACAAATAAAAAAATATTTAAACACAAAATTTCAAATATCTTGAGAAAGCCATCTAATTTTAAAAAACGGATTACACCTACTGAATTCTACACCCAAAAATTAGGTTTACATGTCCCGGCGTTTTTTTGTGTCTTTTTGGCATT